ACCATTCAACTATTTACTTCATGTAGAATCAGTACTGAAAGTATTGTCAAAGGGTTCATGTGCACTTTAAGGTTAAGAGGGGAGAAAAGATCACTACTGCTAGCCACTGTTTATATTTCTACCAACTCACTGCCACTAGACTAATTTTATTTGGCCCATGGAACAAAATTGTAGTTAAACAAAAGAAAATAAAGGAATTAGTGTCTACTACTATTTATCATACTATTTTAAAGTAAAATCGCCATCATACTACAATAACTCTGCTGTTGCTGTTGCTTTGCATGACCACTATGACGAACGCCATAACAACTACCTACAACTATGCCTATCACAACTGAACACTGCCTATACCAACACCACTAACACTACGATAAACACCAACAAGTACCATAACTATAACTACAACTATGAATATCACAAACACCACCACCACCACTACTAACACTACGACGAACACCAACAAGTACCATAACTACTGCATACGACTATGCCTATCACAAACACAACCACCACCACTACTAACACTACGACAAGCACCAACAAGTACCATAACTACTGCCTACAACTATGACTAACACAAACACAACCACCACCACTACCACCACTACTAACACTACGACAAACACCATAACAACTATGACTATCACAAACACCACCACAACCACTACTAACACTACGACAAACACCAACAAGTACCATAACTACCAACTACAACTATGACTAACACAAACACCACCACCACTACTACCACTACTACTGACACCACGATAAACACCATAACAACTATGACTATCACAAACACTGTTAACACTACCACAAACAAAAACACTACTTCTGACACCGTTCTACAACTATATATCAACACCACCACTACTCTCATCATTAGCACTACTACCAATATCATATTGGAACTTCTGGTTAAAATAACGATCTATGTATACATATAGATATAGACACTACGGGGCCCGGTTTTACGAAGGCTGATAGCGCTATCCGGCGGATAAATCCTTATCCAGAGGATAAGTCAATGCTATTTCCCAATACATTTATGCACTGGATAAAATTTATCCATTGGATAGCGCAGTCCAGGGTTCGTACCACCGTGCCCTGAACTTTTGAAGTTCACGCTAGAATTTTCAAATTTTTCAAATATTCTGACCACGCTTTTTTTAGCATCATTTCCATTGCAGCTACTGAATAATAACATTACGTCACTCAATCTTCAAGTATTCTCTCTATCAGTCTGTTCTAAAAATAGTTTAGTTTAATTATTAATTAACGTGTGACCAAAGGTTTCGAAATACATGTAAAGACTCATGGGAAGGTACAAAGGCATACGAACGCTTTGTTAGAAGTACCGAGAAATAAGGAATTATTATCGACTGAAAAAGGAAATAGCCGTGCCAGAAACCTGTTCTTCTTGATTGATAATGTTATAATGTTGACTGATAATGTTGTAGCCATTTAAATTGTATAAATTATTTCATCTACCCTGGGTCTTAAAATCTAAAGTAATTTGGTTATAGAAAGAGAGAGAGAGAGAGAGAGAGAGAGAGAGAGAGAGAGAGAGTGAAACTTAAAACAATTCCTTTAATGTTTCCAAAAAAAAGGAAGTTATGTAACAAGTTAGTTTATCTCAATTCTAGCTTATTTTTGAGCTTCAGTTCCTTAAATATTGGAAACAACTTCCAAAAATACATAATAATCTATTGAAAATTATCATCCGATAGTCTTGTAAAAAATATTATTATTTAAATTTATTGTACACAATCGTTTTCCAGACAATCGTATAAAGTTCTAGAAAAAATACTATACCTATGATTAGCAAAAAAGATTTTTTTTGCTGGTTTTGGGAAATGAAAAATAAACAATATTGTAGGCTTTCGATATCTTATAAATTATTCATACTTTCTGGTTTGTTTATGGTGTGAAAAATATACAAAAATATAAACTGATATATACATATATACACGTTTACTTTTTATTTAAATTTCTCTGTCTTTCGTTCTCTCTTTTTTTTAATTTTTACATGGTACGGTTTTTTCTCTTTGACATGCATTTTTCTAATAAAATTTTGCTAAAATATCCGCTTCAAAAATTTCGCTGAGATTACACTTTTGAATTAGCTAAATTAAAGTTCCTAATGAGAAGATATTTCTTGGTAAGTTTTATATGTTTATATTATTTGATAAATCGAAGACTACTGCTGACATGGGGTGATTGTTTTTGAATTGTAGATAAAGTGCACTTGGAAATTACTTAATGCACTTTAAGACTTGAGTTTCAAAGTACAAAAACCTGGCTTTATGCTCAACAAAGTTAAAATTCAGCGTTTTTGGCTTCGTGCACCTTGAAGAAATCATCTAGAATATTTTTTCGAATTTTCATTTTTCTTGTAATTAATCATTTATGGGGTACTGATGATTGCGGTCCATAACAAAAAATAATTCATTTGTCACCTTCAAGTCCTTTAAAGCACGTTTCCACGCGCAATTCTCCCTAAAATAAACTCGAAGAAATCTTATTTGAAAATGAAAGGATTTCTCGGTAGAATCACTAAAAGCTCGAGCGATTCGTGTCATTAAAACAGAAGGTTTTTCGATCACTCATGAAGTGTCTCTTATCAGGGTTCGATCTAAAAACGCTGCACGCGCTAGTCTACTTGATACGGCTTTTACTTTAGATACACTACTCTACTCTCAATCTGCTTACTCCAAATAGTCATCGTATCGCATTGTATTTCTAGACAAGTTATTATTTAGTCCAACATTTGGGTGTCTGCATATCAAGTTGGCCCACTTCTGATTTAAAGGATTTGACTAAAAATGTTTTCCAAACATCCGCTGGCGAATTAAGATATTATTCTAGCGAGTGATTTGGAATACCTTGCGAATTAGGGCAGCCATCGTCTTATGCAGATGTATAATTCGGCAACTGGTGATCTCGCTCTGTGTGGCCGTTCGCTTGCTCCTTAGTTTCCGAGTGAAAATCGCATGAACTTGGTACGTTCGACTGGTGTTCGGGATTTCGTTGTGCTGTGATCTTAGAGCTCGGGGTTTCGATTACATAAAGCGTTTCTTGAAATCCCCATGCTGAAGATAGCGTAAGATTTCGAGGGGAAATGAATGAAGCGAGCAGCGACAGAAACACGCGAATTGAATCGAAGTGATTGCAGAGAGGTACTGAAATTCCATCTAAGATACGAAACGGTGGGAGATAAATAAACGGTGTCTTTCAAAGAGATATTTGATGTGTATATTTCAATAAACACCGCAGCCCTTGACTCCATTACTTATTACTCTAACAAACCACATTTTCAGCACATGTAGAGGAAGAAAAACATAGCAAACGCACTAGAGTCCCTACCTTTTGTCTTCCAGCCTTCCACGGTGTTCCTAAGTGTCTGTTGCATCAAAAATAGCAAAATAACGCAAATTCCTCTATGAAGTAGGTTCAGCATGGCTTCTCGTCTCTGGGATGTCCTGTGCTATAGAGTGTCCGTCTTTCAACTTCGTGTCAAGCTCAAAATGATAAAATCCCGACCAATGAAAGCTCGGTAATCTAAACTCTTATCAAAAGCGACCCGTCTATCTATTCAGCAATAACCATTAGAAGTCGGCCGAGGGCAAATATCAGTTGTAGTATACTCCAGCACTTGTTGCCAGTTTGGAAATTCTTACAACCTTGGCTTTACACAAGGCGTATATCAAAAGCTAGCTCAAGAGCAACATAATCTACCTCAGTAGATAAGTAATCGGAAACCACTTCTGTTTACCCCTAGTCGACGTATCGAAAATTATTTCAACACCCCTGGAGGTCAGCGAGCTTTGAATATAGATGAATCAGTCGGTGTTTTCGTTCAAATTGAGTTTATGGCTCATTAAAGAAGAAAAATATTCAAGAATAATGGAAGAGAGTCGTGATTTTTTCGATTCAAAAACGTCAAGAACTTGAAATGATCCAGTTGTTCATCCTTGTAATCCTGTCGGCTTGAATCGTCGGCGCTAGGAAACTGTTATATACTTCCGGAGTATGAAGAAAGATCGTCTACCAATGAAATGAAAGGAGGTAATTATCGCTTTTTAAAATTGCGACATTTTGATGTAGTATAAAGTTGTTTTCAATAAGCCACTAACTCATTGGCTGGAAGTGCAATTAGTACCGCTGTTCTCTCTCTAAATATTAAACATTGGCCAAGTGATTTTGCAATCTTGCTCAGCAATTTAATCCCCGGTGATCAGTCGATTTGAATCTGCCCTCGTAGTATTGTTATTACTCTGTGTTACGGAGTAGCGGTCTGAGAAAAACAAGATCATTAGCTTTCTATGTATCCTGTTTGTTTACCTTCAAGCTCTAATTAGAGGAATTTCTCCCGCGATGAGGACTGAGATGGGGGACGTATAACTTCATTAATTGACCCCCTTTTTGACCGCGTTACATGTTGTTATAGTCGTACAATTTAATCAGATTAAAGAGAGCTATATAAAGGACCTGGGGGTATTTGGGATCTAAACCTTCTCAGAGCCACCCATCGATGGGTGATTTACCCGCTACCTTGGGTGATGCGCGATAAACATGCGGAAAAACATGAATAATAAGCATTCGTGAAATTCTGGTGTTTTGTTTTCTATTTCACTCAGCCTTTTCCTGTAGACCACCCTCACCAATTACCAGTGTGCACTAATTTTTGGGCACATACAAGACCAGTTTCCCATCTCACCTTAGGCAGCAAAACGACTGTGTTTTGTTCCCTTAAGAACCTTTTTCTATAGCCGCCTGCACTAATTCTCAGTCAGCTAATTAATTTGGGGTGAACACAAGCATGTGAGATAACTCATAAAAGAGCAGTTTTTTCCCAATTTCCGGCGTAAGGCAACAAAATGACGGTCATTTGCGACGGAATACTGCATATTTCCTTGTAAATTTTACTGTAAGGGAACTCTAGTTTGTTCATTTCATAATAACTCAAAGATTATGCAATTCACGATTTAAAAATGATAGTTTTCTGGGAGTCTATAACACAAAAGCTAAACTGCAGCCTTGCGAAAGTCTTTACTGTCTATTCCTCTTCAGTATAGTTGGCGCCTTTGGATGCTGTCAATCATCCATCCATCAATATATCGATGCCATCTGTAAATTGCCGGAAAACCCGTATGTAGTTGCGCAATGCTACTACAAAGTAAACAAGTCGTTTCTGTGTTAGTTTTATTTTTGCCGAAACTACTGGATCATCAGAAGAGCCAAGCTGCTTCATAATCAGCGCCAGGCGACTAGGAAGAGAAGCACTTCTATATTGGTTATAAATTACCGGAATAAACATTCTTGCCTATGCATGAGTATGTTGACAAGACTTCTTATTTTAAAGCCGGCTAAAAAGATCGTTGGATCGATTGCCAATTTGGTGAAGCAAATGCGAAATGATAGGAACACAGAATTCGTTTTTGCTATTGGGAGAAACTAGTTTTTTTTCTCAATACAAGATTTCACTGCTTTTTCGTTATCTTTTCAATCTTCATGTGCGTTTTTGATTGATCACAAAAAAAACAGATCGATATTTTTTTCCGAAGTCGCAGAAATCCTTTTTCACATAATGGTATCTCACCACCTGAGGCGCTTTAAAGTTGGTGTATGAGGCGACTACAACTTCAACTTTAATTAACAAACATTAGAAATTTGGTTTGCATCAGTTGATTTCATTATTTTCCTGCTGATGCACGTAGCATGCTTGCGCATGCGCATCACTCACTAAGCTGGTTTATCGCAATTTTTTTTTTCGATTTTCTTATCCTTTTATTGATGGTCGTAAACAATATATAATTAATTCCATATTTCAGTATTATTATACTTCACAGCTAGTTTCTCAAAACACATCCCACATGGGAAGGAGTGAACATGCATGGCAACCCATCAGTGAAACAAGTGACTTTTCGGGTATGCTGGTCATAGCAAGGGGTTATTCATCTACGGTCTAGGGGCCGACTAACCTCTCCCTTAGGCTTCGGCCGAGCTTCCTGATCAGTCTGTAAATCCAGGGATAGCGGTGTCGGGGCCGAAATCTCCGGCATAGCCGTAAATGCTTCGCGCTGCCATACTGCGCTTCAGCACCACGTCTGGAGGTATGGTCCTAATTTCATAATCGATCAATCAATAACAAATTCTCTAACAATAGCTTGACTGGCAGGTGGTCTGGAACAGATCAGTTTGAAAAGGATAAGAGGAAGTCAGCGCACTCATATTTTGGTGCCGGTGTTTGATTATGGCAAATTCACAGTACGAAATAGACAGCATCGTTTGAACCACTGACAAAAGGCTTTATTTAAAAAAAGTATTAAAATAAAATACTTTCGTACTATCACAGGCACTTTCTATCAAAACCCCCTTGCAAAACAAACGAATTACGATCTCCTGAGAATTGGACACCTATTGTTGTGTTCTCCAAATGGAGCTGTTTTCCGACGTACCGTAAGAGGTCAATTTGTAACGCTTCTACCAATTTTTCTGTATGAATATGGTGGAATGTATTTGCTCTTGCAATTTGTTCATTGATGACTCGAGCACAGATTGGTGTAAAATTCTCACATTTTATTATAAAAAAGATGCACCAACACAGTCACATGGAATATATATAGTTGGACACTAACGATCGAGCATAATTGAAATTTGTTGGATCAAACAAGGAAAACTACGTGAAGAGAGTTCTCTCTGTAAGCTGCAAGAAAATGTAATTGAAAGAGCGTAAAGAAGGCCAGAAATCTACTAAACTCCCATGACTAAGAACCCAAACAACCTATATTCAAATCAAACCTTTAAGACATCTACGCAATAGAAATTCCACTATAATAAGCTAGCAAAATATTTATTTTGTATTGTAAGGGACGGTTTGATAATGAAAAACGTAACTGCGTCCTGTATCGATTTTTAAGGTGTATTTTCTCTGATCGTCTTCTCGATCCATTCAACAAATGGTGCCACCCTTGTGTAGTATTCGTATTTATCTTTCAAACCGCACCCCTCCCCCCACGAGACCAGGCCAGCAGATACCCATCTTAATTCACCATTGCGTTGAACATGCCTTACAAAGCTGCCACCGCTGTCTCCTTTACACGTGCCGTTTCCGCCCTTGCCATCTCCCGCGCAAAAAGTGACATTCAAGTTTAAATGGAACTTTGTTTTTTCTCTACAAAGCTTGACATTCTGAATTTCAAATGCCGACTGTAGAAGAACCTTAGATCTACTATTGGCAGCAGATGGGGGCTGTCCGGGTAGAAGTTTCTCAGTAACACCCCAACCTGCTACAAACCCTACGTTTCCAGGTTCAAGTAATTCCTCATTATTTTTCGGTAGACAAACTGTGCGGACGAAGGGACCGAGTTTGACGTCTCTGCGAAGTTTAACCAATGCTATGTCATTCTCGTAAAATGGACTGGGCTTGTAGCCAGGATAAATGAAGATCTGCTCAGCTCGTAACTCTTGTTCCGAAGGATCTTCTTCTTCAAGATCATAATCACCAGCTTTTACCGTCCAACTAAAAAAGACAATTTTAAGTTGAGAAAGTATTGCTAACGAAAAAGCTTTTAAAATTCCTTCATAACGAAAACGAATTTAAATGATGCAATTATTTAATCATCTAATCTTACAATTCTGGTATGGAATACCGTGCACGACCTCCAAAGCAGATTGCTGTAGTCAAAACCCATCTCTTGTCGATCAGAGCTCCTCCACAGTATAATTTTAACCTTCCTTAAAAGTAAAACATATTTTCAGTTATAACATACAAGTGGATTATTTTCAAGTTAAAACCCATGCAATCATTCGTCAGAAATATAAAGGTGTAAATGGCTCTATCAGTACGTTTATGACGCCCTTTATGTAATAGACTCCTCCACAGCCGTCGCTGTCATTAATTTCGGTCCTAGAACGCCGTTAGTGGAGAGGCCCCCTGAGGATCTGGGACCAAAACCAATGACAGCGACGGCTGCGGAGAAGACTAGTTTTATAAATGATAAACATGCTTCTCTATAAGTAAGTGCGCTGAAGTGGGGAGTGTTATGAAGATATTTACACGTACCATCTATATCAAGTCTGTGAAGTCCAATTTGCCATGGCCATCTTTTACGATGAGCTTGGTTACCTCCAACTATTCTTCCTCGCGGGTCGTAATCACTCTCTCCGCATATAGTATAATCTGGTACTAAAAACAAAAAAAAAAAGTTTTCTAAAAACAAAAGCTTTTTTTACAAAACTGCTACATGTGATGATTGTGACGCAACCAACTTACCAATTTTTACAAATTTATCAATTGCTTTTTTCAGTTCTTCATAGCCGTTCACCATAATCACGTCTTCTTCATTTTTTCCGATCGCGTAAAGTTCGCGAGGGTGTACATTTCGCCCAACTCCAATGGCAGTATTTTGAACTTTGTATTCAACCCGTAAATTTCGCGCTGCTTCTTCCGGGTTTCCTCCAATGTTAAAGCGACCATCAGTGATAACAAACATAGCGCGTTGTCGTCTATTCTCCCTTGTCACAAACACAACTTTCCTAGCCATTTCCAGGGCATGCCTTGTCGCAGTGCTACCACCCAATCTTTTTATTTTTCTTATCTTCTTTATAACACCATTTGTTGAAGTTGCTCCATGTTCTCCAAAATTGAATACTAACGCTGGTTCAGTAGCAAAAACAATGACTGCGATTCTTGTTCCTTTTGGTCTATAACGAAGAGAATTGAAATATAAAGTTGGTGTTTGTCATAAGGACCAGTGTCGCGTCCATAATCCGTCTATGATAACTGTACTGAATCTTAATGTACAAGTTAAGACAAGTGTGGTATCTGAGGCTGTTGGCGTTGAATACACTCGCTTCTCAGCTCTGAAGTCTCAGGTTTGATTCCTGGACTCGGCATCACATGTGAGTAGAGCCAGTTTGTTAGGTCTCTCACTTGATTCGATGGTTTTTCTCCAGGTTCTCCCGTACGTTTGCTGCAAAAACTAGGTAAATTCCAATCCGATCTCAGATGAGATAGCCGTGCCCTCACTTAGGTTAGCCAACAGCTTGTTTCGGGATATCAATTAAATTTGAAGGCTTATAAACACTTTGAATATTGTTCCAATTACCGACTAATAAATACAAACATTAGTTTCCTTTTTCAAGCTGTCTGCGATGTCGGGAGCTATCTATAAGTGTTCTTATTGCGTCATGCAGTTAATTGAATACTCACTTCCACGTCGCACCAAGCTGTCTGACAATTGCTATAGCAAACTCTTTTGCAAGCTTGAAATCCTTTCTTTTAATGCTGGAGGAGGCATCTAAAACAAACAGAACATCTAATCCTCCTTGTTCACCAAGATCTATGGCTCTCGCCCTGGTGTCGATGCCTGTGCTGCTACACGTGGAGTTCACCCCCGAACACGTGTATTGCAACATCTTGTCGATGTTCTTTCGAAGAATGATCGCGGTCTCGTCTACTCCTCTTACGAAATACTGAAACTCTTCTGTTGGGATAAGAAACAAATTTGTCTTTGTGCAGTAGACTTACAATAGACTATGTGCAGTAAGCATACTCTTTAGTATTTAAAAGTTTTGTGCACGTTTTCAATATACCTTTAGTGATTGAACTATTGATAATGAAATATAAACATTTTCTCAGTACCTACAATACGCCGAAATGCCTGCTGTCAACGAGAGTGGACGACGGTATTTTCTTTTAGCCAGATTGCAGGGGTTGTTCACCACATTATGGGTTGGGTGGGCGGGTCACACCCACTCTTGATGATGTTGCAAAGAATGGGCAAAACTTGAATGAGTGACGTAAATTGATTTATACATTGATATGTTTTTTTAAAATATCTATTATATAAATTCCATGTTTTATTTCTGTAACTGATAGTTACGAGGATAGTTTGCTCATTCAAACAAAAAATTACGAGATGACTGAGTTAACCACATTTTTTAAAAATCAATAGAGGTTTTGCATCATTAGGTGCCCACGCCCATAATACAGCTTGGGCTGCCTGTGGTTAGATTCCATAACAATAAAATCCCTTTGCTGTCGGGAATTGAATTTGTTCTCATGTAAAACAATTGTATTTTTCCTGCCATCTAACCTGGCTGCCATCACCTGATGGTGCAAAACCTCTATAACGTATAAGATAGCTTACCAATACATTTTGTTTGAGTACCATTCCATTTACCATCGGGCATACAACGCCTGATGCTCGACCCTTGGAGTATATATCCTTCCTCACACTCAAACCGAACAACAGATCCGAACTGGTATCGATTACCGATCTTGATTCCACTGACAGGGATACCTAGAATTGGACAATCTGTAACTAGATAAAAGATACGTGTGTTGTTTTAATGTTTGTATACACCTATTTAAAAAAACCTTTGTCCGTTGGAGATCTCGGAAATCTGACATCTGAGAAGTACCCATATTGGTGTACCAAGCAATAGAAACTTTCTGCACAGTTTTTGCATAAAAATAGAGTTCAATTTCCCCAGGAAAGAATTTTTTTGTTTTGGTACACCAATATGGCCACTGTGACGTCACGTGAAAACGCTGTATACGGGCTTTTGCATTGCCGACCTCAAACTAGCTCTCCAGAAAAAGTGCCATTTTTTAGTGTTTTATTGATTTGTTCACAGACTTACTTCCATCATCACAGACAGCAACGCTTCCAGACCACTGCTTGTTCTTCAGGCAAATGCGGACTGCTGATCCTGTGAGCTTGGTTCCACTATGGCAAACAAACCGAACTGATCGACCAATGCGAAAATCATTGCCAAAGCGAAAACCATACTCTGGAAAGCCAGGATTTGGACACGCAAGCACTACCAAAAAAAATTAATTCATTTCAAATATTTTTGGAGCCCAAGGAAATTCCAAGTTTAAGGTGAGGTGAAAGGTGAGTTGTCATTAATATTTAATAGTATTCTGATATTTATTAAGACATGCTGTCAGCAGCCAATGAAGTGGTCCTTTTTGTATTTCCAGTCTCGGAATGACCTATCTCCTATCTCGTTACTAGCTAGCATGCATTGTCATTGGATTTATTTACTCTTAAACATGCATTGCAATTGGGTGATGTCTTAAATTAGCCACAACTCGCATAGTATGCGTAGTTAGGTGCTTGTTGATTAAACTAACAATGGAATATTGGCAGGCTATTTTTCCCTCATTACATCTAAACGCTAGTCCAATCGGGCACTCGATAGTTATCTCTCGGCCACGTGAACACATAGTGATATTCCGGAAAGTGGCGTGATCACGGATGTCGGTTTTCGATTTCTTGCACTATGATTCTACTAGAATACGCACGCCATCAAGGCCTCTAGGGGGAGCGTTGGCGCCAGTTAAAAAAAAATTTCGGCACCAAAATGGCCGCCATGCTTTTCATGTATGATTGATTAATAACAGCTTAAAGAAAAAGGAACCTTCAGGTATGATAGTAAAGGAGGTGTATAAAAAATTCAAGCATATCCTACGTTTACAACGAGGTAGCTGTCTATGGCTCCACCGTCCTTTGCGGCAATTAATCTCGTCTGGTCCAACGAGCTCGTAATCTTTGTTACATTTGAAGATGAGTTTAGATCCATGGGAGTACAAGGGATCTGTAATGTTAATCCTTCCATTGCGCAAGCGCGGACGTCTGTTGATCTGACATCTATGTTCTAGACAATCAAACAGCAGAAAGAGTTCACATGTATAAGATGCAAAATCTTTCAGCAAAAAAAATTCAATTAAAAACTCAGTTACACTTCGCAGAGTTTTAATGTTCTTTCCAACAATATGCGTCAATCTAACGCGTTTTACCTCTCTCTCTCCACTAGCTCCCGCCCACCAAGAAAAGGAATATTCTGTATTCAGGTGTGCGCAACTCCATCTCTTACTTGTGTGGGTGGTAGCATGTTGCGTTTCAAAGCTTTTTTAAATCTGGTTTCCCTTCCTCAGCTAAACCTAATATACCAAAAACTTCGATTCGATCTGTGAGTTCTCAGCAATAAAATAGAAGTATTCCTTTGAAGTATTCTTTCATACCAAACACAAATAGGATCCCTATCTTACTTTCACACTTAGGTTTCTTGGTCCATTTTCCATTACTTCTACACCTTCTCTTAGGTTTTCCAATCAGCTGGTATCCAACATGACACCTGTAGGTCACCTCACCGAGGTACGTAAACTCAGCGCCAGTGTAGTTACCATGGTTGATGTTTGAAGGTTTCCCACACGAGATGGCTGAGGATGTAGGCAAATTAATAGCAATAGAATCAAAATATAAACGACCTTTTTAAACCCTTGACTATTAAATCTTTTGAGATAAGATGTCATTATGCAGAAATTTGAGAAATTCATGCAATCGACCGCTCTCGAAAATTATTTTGGATAAACGAGGTTAACATGAAAAACCAAAAGAAATGTTACAAATTCCATAAAGATGAAGTGTGATTTCTTTTGTATCTTCATGTTAGACTTGCATTCAACATAATTTTGTGAGGTAACGTCTATTCCAAAGCAGAAAACGTACACTTGCAGGAAGGTGCCTCTTTTGTCCAGTTTCCATTGTCTTTGCAAGTGAGAGAAGCTCCACCTTGAATTTGATATCCAGAAAGACATTGGTAAAGAATCACCGAACCAACACGATGGAAGGCCTTAGAAGCACTTCTTCTGCCGTGGTCAATTGGCCCAGGATCTTTGCAAAGGACTTTTGACGCTGCAGAGAAAACAATAAGTATTTTTAGTTACTTATTGCGTTTATATTGTATTACTCGTGTGGAAAAAGGTAGCAGTTAATGACATGTCTTACCTGTTGGAATGGCGTGTACCAGTCCCACACAGACGACAAGAATGTATATCAAAAGCTGCAAATACATGTCATTAAGAAAAGAATGTCTACCTGTTTCTTGTACGTTGGTGTTATTGTCTGTCTGTCCGGACTACTTTCCTGTCTGCTTGAATTACCTTTTGGTGAAGCCCTAATCATTTGTAAGTGGATGCCAAGTGATCTTGCATGGAACTTCCTGTTTGTCTAAGAGATAAACTGACTCAATAAACTGTCTGTCTGTCTATCTGTCCATCTTTTTCCCTATCCCTATATGCATTACTAGCTTACTAAGCAGGCCTTAACCTAACACGTTAGTCAGTTTGCATTGGGCTTTTCCTTCACATACCACTAAATCAAATAAAAAATCCTAGATCTTGAGTTATAGAGTCTAAGGTTTTTAGTGCAACAAGTGGACACAATGACAAAATATCAAGGTATCATGTCGTCAAACCTGCATTTGTTGGAAGGTGTAGCTACTGCGGATATCAAAACCTCATACGTGTTGCTGAACTTACTGGATCATGTTCTCAGTTCCTCTTTAAGCAGTATGAAGACAACCCTTAAGAATGTGTCGAGGCTGCACTTTATTACATTTTGACCTTGCTAGCTATGGATAAACAAAATCTTTATAGGCTAATAAAATACCGGAACTGAATTTTAGCATGGTGCCTGGATGCCAGCCAAGAGAAGCATGTTTGGTCAAGTCTTTGGGTCTATAATTAATCATTACTTTAATCAAGTGGGGCTTTCAAAGACAAGTCAAAGCGACCTACTCTCTTATATTTATACTGTTCATTCGACATCGTTTTTGTCATCATTTTTAGGATATCTAGGATTGCCGTTGTAAAATGTAATACAAAAGAATCATGCTCATCAAGATGGGCCCAGAAGAATAACCAATTTGATTTAAGGTCTCTCCTCCCCCATTAAGTGCATCTTTGAGATCTGCTTTTTTAGAAAATTGACGAATAAGACTAAGATATCTGGTACACGCATTTTATTCAAGAAATGCACTTTTCTACAATTTAACCTTCAAAGTTATTTTTTAAAATTTAAACCCGTGATGATTCTAGTTTACCCCAACAGCTAGATCAAGTTGGATATTTCAGTCTCTTATACTATGCAGTAACTGCATCCTTCTGTCCAACTGGCGTTTGGTATATGTAGGAATCAAAATAGTCGTTTTATTATGCAACTGATTTTTTTTTTTGCAATCTGGATTAGTCATTTTGGATTAATCAAACACATATGACTTTATAGTGCGTCAAAGAAACGATGATTAACAGATAATAGTTGGTACCTGCGTCTTACACCTATAAAATTTCTCATTTTTCAATATCAATGTATGATTATTAGTGAATAGTCATTATTGCGTAGCCAACACCTCTTCTTATTTCTTATTGGTATAACAAAAGCCTACGAATGTTTTTTAAACACGTTTTATTATCATTTAGTCATTATTTCTTTCCCTTTTCTTCTCTCATGGTCTTTTTGATCCAGCTAACAAAAGGGGCTACCCTTGTGTAGTATCCGTATTTATCTTTCAAACCGCACCCCTCCCCCCACGARACCAGGCCARCAGWCACCCATCTTAATTKKCCATCACGTAGTATTTGCCTTACAAAGCTTCCACCGCTGTCTCCTTTACACGTGTCRTTTCCGCCCTTGCCATCTCCYGCGCAAAAAGTGACATTCAAGTTTAAATGGAACTTTGTTTTTTCTCTACAAAGCTTGTTATTCTGAATTTCAAATGCCGACTGTAGAAGAACCTTAGATCTTCTATTGGCGTAAGATGGGCTTTGTCCAAGTCGAAGTATCTGAGTAGCACCCCAACCTGCTACAATCCCAACGTCTCCAGGTTCAAGTAATTCCTCATTATTTCTCGGTAGACAAACTGTGCGGACAAAGGGACCGAGTTTGACGTCTTTGCTAAGTTTAACCAATGCTATGTCATTCTCATAAAATGGAAAGTGCCTGTAGCCTGGATATTTCGAGATTTTCTCGGTTTGCAACTCCTGTTCCGATGGATCTTCTTCCTCAAGATCATAATCACCAGCTTTTACAGTCCACCTAAAAAGGACAGAATAACATATGTATGTATGAATAACCTAAAGTTGACATCGTGTTGGGCCCCCAGCAATGGCTTTGAGTGTTTGTCTCTCTTTTAAAGTAAAGATGAACGATGTGCATGCTGTCTTAATTCATATATTGTTGTATTCTCTTGTGGTGAGCTGTTAATATCAATCGACGTCATTATATGAATGTAACTAAAGTTTATTTGCCGCCTGGATGCCCCGAAATGCCTTGTGATCCAAGATGCCTGCCGTATCATCGAATTTGTCCATCCATTCCTTCATGACGAAAATGAAATTTTTTTTTGAAAAAATTAAGTTTAAATAATCTTAAAATCTTACATTTCTGGTGTGGAATGCAATGCAAGCTCTCCAAAGCAGTGTGCTGCAGTCAAAACCCATCTCTTGTCAATTAGTGCTCCTTCACAGTAAAATTTTAACTTATCTTTAAGCAAAAAAAAAAAATTAATAATACATTAGTAGTTTATGGTTAACCACGTGTCATTCTCTTAAAAATAATATTCTTTGTTTAAATTGTAGCCATATTCATGTGTCTTCTCATGCTCAATCGTTTAACAAAGAATCTTATTCTCAAGGGAATGGCACATGTTCTGAAATGGGAAAACATTACTATGTAAATAAGAGAAAATCATGTCAATGATTTCCAGGGGTAAAGGGTGGAGGGGTTGGATTGCTTTTAGCTTATAGAATGAGCTGTATATATTTTAAGATATTCAACGTACTATTTTTATCAATTCTGTGAAGTCCAACCTGCCATGGCCATCTTCCACGATCAGCTATGTTGCCCCCAACCAATCTTGCTCGCGGATCATAGTCACTCTTTCCGCATACAGTATAATCTGGTATGAATACAAAAAAATATATGTTTTTTACAAAACTGATACAAATGACTGTGCTCCAACCAACTTACCAATTTTTACAGATTTATCAATTGCTTTTTTCAGTTCTTCATAGCTGTTCACCATAATAACGTCTTTTTCGTTTTTTCCAATCGCGTAAAGCTCGCGAGGGTGTACATTTTCCCCAACTCCAATAGCAGTAATTTGAACTTTGTATTCATCCCTTAGAATTATCGCTGCTGCTTCCGGTTTTCCCCCAATGTTAGAACGACCATCAGTGATAAAAAACATAGCACGTTGTCGTTTACTTTCCTTCTCCACGAACACAACTTTTCTAGCCATTTCCAGAGCGTGCCTTGTCGCAGTGCCACCACCCAATTTTTTTATTTTTCTTAGCTTCTTTATAACACCATTTGTTGAAGTTGCTCCATGGTCTCCAAAATTGAATACTAATTCTGGTCTAGTACCGTAAACGATGGTTGCGATTCTAGTACCTTTAGGYCTAAAAATGTTAGAAAAAATGTTCTGATCATAAATTCATATCCTTTTCTCAAAAAAATATATTGGAAAAAATTGATATTGAACTAAGAAACTGATTTACAGTGAGGACATTCGAACCATGAACACTTTCGAATTTTTCGTTACGTTTTTTTTAAAACCATACTGTAAATCATCCCTTGAGCCAATCGATTGGAAATAAGATTTATTTTCATCACTTGGTGTATTTGAGCTCAATGCTTCATTTCAGAGGGTTTGAAACAATAGAAAGTTTAGGTAGTAATAACCTGGGTAAAAACCAAACGGTTAACTCGGTTAAAGTGTCCCCTTTGTAAAAGTCATAATACATAGAAGAAATAGAAAACGCGCGCGCGTGCTGTCTGCAGTTATAAAGCACGCGGGGGTTGAGAGAACACGAAAGAAGTGTTAGGAGATGCACGACGCGTAGCGGAGTGCTTTTCGACACTTCTCGAGTGATCTGCCAATCCCAAAGTGCTTTATAACTCCACACAGCACAGCACAACTAGCAAGTTTTTTGACTGAAAAAAACTGAAAGTGCGCGCGCGTGCTGTGTGCTGTCATAAAGCACGCGCTCCCAACAATAAATCTCGGCGAGATTAAGAACAATTATTTTATAATAATGTTTTTAATTATAAATACTGACTTCCACGTCGCACCAAGCTGTCTGACAATTGCTATAGCAAAGTCTTTTGCAAGCTTGAATTCTTTATTTTCAATACTGGAGGAGGAATCGAGAACAAACAGAACATCCAATCCTCCTTGTGCACCAAGATCTATGGCTCTCGCCCTGGTGTCCAAGCCACTAATGTTACATGTTGAGTTCCCTGAGGAGCAGGTGTACTCCATCAAAGCATCGAGGTTTTTGCGGAAAAGAATTGCGGTGGCATTAACGTTTTTAACGAAGTGTTGAAATTCGTCTTTGTACGAAAAAAGAGAGAAGTTTTACTGATCTTTAATATATTGGATAATTGCAGAATGATTTTGCATTGTAGACTCAATTAAACTAAGAAAACTCTTACGTTGAGGCTAGATTATGAAATATAATTTTACAAATTACAAATATCTCGGCGCTGATGGGTTGTTTTTTATTACCAATAAGAGGACAGACAGATAAAGCTGACGTCAACGAGCGCGCGCTCTTTCCGTTGGTTGTTTTGATCGCTAAAAATTAGAAGTTTTTATCGTTTTTGGTATTGTTAAATTAACAAATAGACATCAGATTTTTATGTGTCTGTCCTCTTATTGACGGTAAATTTCGCCATCACACTGTCAAAGTAGTATGCGGATCCACACTACTTTGACAATGTGATGGAGCAATTTATCGTCAATAAGAGGACAGACACATAAAAATCTGATGTCTATTTGTTAATTCAAAGTACGTTCCAATAACAAGCACTAGATTTTATATCCGGTTATTATAGCATTCACATGATTATCACTATTTTTCCTGGATGGCATGCCATTCGGTAACCTTATCCACAGTATTTTGCAAGCATACCTGGTCAACTAATACCCCATTGTACCGCACTGTGCAACGTGCAAATGCAAAACTTGGACCAATCTCGACCTTGAGGTCGTACTTCCAAGTACTAGTAAATGTCAACAAATATAAAGAACTACTCTTTCTTACCAACACATTTAGCTTCGGTTCCATTCCATGTGCCATTAAAAGTACAACGCCTTATACTCGACCCTTGCAGTATATATCCTTCTTTACACTCAAACCGAACAATGGATCCGAAGCTGTATCGATTACCTTTCTTGATACCACTGGTGGGGGTACCCAGGATTGGACAATCTGAACCTAGTAACATGTCAATCAGTTGTGAACAAAAATCTAATGTGTGGGACCACTTTTGTATGATTGAGGCAGAAGATAAAATTCCATTTTCATTTTCCAATCTTTAGGGAATTGTCGGCTAAAACAATTTTTATCGGAAGAGTAAGTACGATTGAGCTAAGCTTTATTTTTTGCCTGTTGAATAACGTTCTTAGAAACTCTAAGTTCTGGATTCGACTTTAGATACGAATTGGGAACTTACTTCCATCGTCACAGACAGCCACGCTTCCACTCCACTGTTTGTTCTTCAGACAAGTACGCACTGGTGATCCTGTGAGCTTGAATCCAGACTGGCAAGTGAACCGTACAGTACGACCAATGCGAAAATTATTTCCAATTCGGCGACCGTTGTCAGGAAACCCAGGATTCGGACAGGCCTTGACTATAAAGAGAGGTTTTTGATATCAACAGTTTCCTAAATAGTCGTGGCCCAAACGTCTAGCCCATGAAAAATGGATGAATAAAAAGTGATAGTAAAAGTTACACCGATTATATTCTAGTTGAATGCATTTGCAATTCTCTTCAACAGTATCTCTTTTTCTTTTGTTTTTGTATTTTTACAAACGTATTAGCAAAAAGCCGTTTGAAATGAGAAACCCTACGGGATTTGAGTATAGGTCTAACATGGACATGGATGAATTGATTAATGCTAGACGTTTGAAGGTCTTTGAAGAGATACATGGTTCCTAAACCTTTGAGTAAAAAATGAAAAATAGATTAATAAATCCACTTTAACCAGTTCCTATGGAAAGAATGAGAGCAAACCTCTGCAGTAGGGCAGCCTTCGAGCAGACCATTTTCCTTCRAGACAACCTATGGAATCTGTCCCCACCAGCTCATAACCTTTGTTGCACTTGAAGAGAAGTGTGGAACCATGCGAGTACGTTTTGTCTGTGGTTTTTATTGTTCCATATCTGATCCCGAGAGTTCCTTTTATTCTGCATTTGTAAACTGTATGAAAAGAGACGTGAAAAATACACTTAATTCCTTTGAAAAGGCAAACAAAGGTTAATGATTCTTGTGCTCATCAAGCACTCTCGCAAAAGCATTTCTCATACTCATGAATATTTAATTAGGAGAAAACAAAGCAAATCACTACTGTGACGGTCGTTTGGAAATGTGTTCTTAATTTGCATTAAATTTCGTAAAATTTTTCTTTGATTTTCTCCAAGAAATATTCATTAGTTTGAGAAGTAATTTCAAACACTTGAGAGAGTTCTTCCTCCGATTTCCAAACACCTCAAAGTCAGTTAAAAAAACTCGGCTGCGCCTCGTTTTTACAACTCACTTTTCGGTGTTTGGAAATCGGAGGAAGAACTCTCTCGCGTGTTTGAAATATTACATCATGCATTAGTACCCTGTTGTAAATTTCCAGCTTATATCCCCACTAAATTAAAATCTTCGACTTCTTCTTTGACGTATAGTTAGATGCACTTTTCTAATAATGACAGTTCTAGGTATACACCTATTTCAATAATAGTTTCGTTCGACATGGTTTCGTATAGTTGCCATACTTGATGCTTTTTTTTTGCATACCAAGAAAATTTCGCAAATGCCATCTAGAAACACTGTTGTTTTTTTGTTTTTTTTTCTTTTGTTTTTGTTTGTTTGTTTGTTTGTTTTTCGTTGTTTCTTTTTTGTATCTCCATGTTAGCCTTGCATCCAAGATAGTTTTGTTAGCTAGGGTCTAATCCAAAGTGGAAAACGTACACTTGCAGGAAGGTGTAAATCAATATATATATTTAGTTATTTATTGCGTGATTTTTTGTTACATATTACTTCGTGGGGAATAAAGCAGTTAATGACATGTCTTACCTGTTGGAATGGCGTGTACCAGCCCCACACAGACGACAAGAATGTATATCAAAAGCTGCTAAAAAAGAAGAATGTCAATAAAGAAGAGAATGTCTATCTACCAGGGGCGGATACGGGGAGGGGGGGAGGTGGATTGGGTGGATTTCCATCCCCCTTTTTAGAGTAAAAGTGAATATTTTTTTAGAAGAAGGAATATGATTGCATCTAATTACAAAATATGCCAAGAGTCAAAATTTAGCTGCATTCACAAGTATGCAGTACACTGTATGTTATAATCTAATCATTTTTTCCCCTTTGTACTGCAAAAAGAAGCTCAACTGAACTTTAAAATAATTATCCACCTCCCCTGTTTAAAGTCCTGTATCCACCCCTGCGTACGATTGTGTTATTGTATGTCTTTCCCACTACTTCCCTGTCTGCTTGAATTACCTTTTGGTGATGGCCTAATCATTGGTAAGTGACTGCCTAGTGAAGGGATCTTGCATGGAACTTCCTGTTTGTCTAAGAGATACTCACTCAATGTACTGTCTGTCGTTCCGTCTGTCTGTTTTTCTGTCTGTCTTTCCATATATTTTCCTATCTACTATATGCATAACTAGATCAATAAACAGGATTTTCCCTAGCTCCATACAACATGAGGGGGGGAAACCACAGGACAAGAGTCCCATATAGTTCCTCCAAAATAAACGTTTTACGAACACTAATTACTAATAAGAAACTTTAAAAACAGAAAGATGCTGCTGACATATCTATCAGAACTTAGGAGCACCAGGGGATATTGTATGAGCGGCATTTTGAACAGTATGACTTCCAGGTTCTAGTTCTGTCAATGTCAAATGTAGTGTCAAGTTTTAGTGTCTGTAAAGAAGAAGTTTGAAAGTTTTCGTAGAGGAGCAGTTGCGGATTGAGGATGACAAAGCATTCCCTAGATAAACTATGCTGTTGAAAAAAATTTCCTGAAAAGTGTAGCTTTGCAATGGCTGGGCTGAAGTAGCTTAGCGGAAGTCGATCGAAGAGATATAGAGCGTGCAGTGGAACTTGTTACAAAGTTGAAATGCCTAGCTCATACTGACCGAAATAACATTTATAGAGTCTATAAGGTTTTTCGTGCAATAAGTGGAGACAATGACAAAATATCAAGGTCGTCAAACCTGCATTTGTTGGAAGGCGTAGCTACTGCGGATATCAAAACCTCATACGTGTTGCTGAACCTACTGGATCATGTTCTCAGTTCCTCTTTAAGCAGCTTGAAGACATCCCTTAAGAATGTGTCGAGGCTACACTTTATTACAGGTTGACCTTTCTAGCTATGGATAAACAAAATCTTATAGACTAATAAATTACCGGAACTCAATTTTAGCATGGTGCCTGGATGCCAGCCAAGAGAAGCATGCTTGGTCAAGTCTTTGGGTCTAAAATTAACCATTACTTCAATCAAGTGGGGCTTTCCAAGACAAGTCAAAGCGACCTACTCTCTTATATTTATACTGTTCATTCGACATCGTTTTTGTCATCAATATTAGGATATCTAGGATTGCCGCTGTTNAGACAACCTATGGAATCTGTCCCCACCAGCTCATAACCTTTGTTGCACTTGAAGAGAAGTGTGGAACCATGCGAGTACGTTTTGTCTGTGGTTTTTATTGTTCCATATCTGATCCCGAGAGTTCCTTTTATTCTGCATTTGTAAACTGTATGAAAAGAGACGTGAAAAATACACTTAATTCCTTTGAAAAGTCAAACACAGCTAAACAATGATTCCTGTGCTTTCGAACACTTTAGCATAAGTATATCAGTACCCTATTGTAAGTTTCCAACTTATATCCCCACCTCAAATTAAGATCTTGGACTTCGTCTTTCAAGTATAGTTAGATGCACTTTTTCTAATAATGACAGTACGAAGTAACACCTTTTTCAATAAACGTTGCCATCGCCAAAGGCGATAGGCGATAGGTCATTCCGACATGGAAATGGTTTCRTTGAATACAAAGAACATCGAGTCAGTCTCAACACTAAGGTCCATGTTCTTGACGAGAATAAGAAGCAGAAACACAAGTCATTCCAGCTATTCTTGGATCTTGGAATGACCTATCTCATATCATCGGCATTTTTCACCTATCGCTATTGCCTCTTGCCTTTGGCGATGGCATGGTTTATGAAATAGGGGTTTCTTTTCCAACCTTGAATAGAAAAAGGATTTTTCTATTTACTACCCCCAATCAAAAATTAAAGAATACTCAGTGATGCAGCACTGACATAATATGTGCATCAACTCCTTTTATATTCGTTCGCATGCTTGTAAAAATCTGAAATGCCAAAAATACAAAGGACTTCTTTGAGGTCTTACTTTCGCACTTAGGTTTCTTGGTCCATTTTCCATTACTTCTACATCGTCTCTGGGGTTTTCCAATCAGCTGGTATCCAACATCACACTTGTAAGTCACCCCACTGCGGTAGGTAAACTCTTTGCCAGTGTAGTTACCATGCTTGATGTGTGAAGGCTTCCCACACGAGATGGCTAAAGACATTAAACAAGATCATATAAGAAATTGGACTCAACATTGATAAAACAAATAAATGGAAATAAATTCATCATTAGCAGCAGCAGCATCCGTAGCATCATCTGTATCATTATCTACATCAACATGCTTGGTTTACGAGGATTACACCTCACAAATGGCTTTCCGCACGAGATAGCTAAAGACAAAGAAGATCAGATAGAAAGTCGCCTCAACATTGATAGATAAAAATAAATGTAAATAAATTCATCATCATCAGCAGCAGCAGCATCTGTACCAAAAACCTGTGGAACTTAACCGGAAAACCCATAGAAAACCCTCGACGTACAGGAGAAAATGCGGTTCCGCAGTTGTCCAAAAATGACGGTACTAGTCATATAAGATAATCACATAAATCATTATGTAATTTTTGGAGGGGTTCAAATTGCAAGTAAAGCCACGGTCAACAACTAATTGCGCACGAGTTTGTTGTCGCGCACGACATGCAGACTCCAAGCCTCCTTTGGTGTGCAATAACTAAACTTCATTTTTCCAGACAAACTGTACTTACGTTGGCAAGTTGGAATTTCATTGCTCCAATTTCCATCTTTCTTGCAAGTGATGGAGGCTGTACCGTTAACTTTATAGCCAGCATAGCATCGGTAAAGAATTGTTGAGCCAATACGATGAGTCCTTTTAATCTGAACACTTCTTTTGCCGTACCTGATTCTACCCGGATCCTTGCAGCGTAAAGCTCTTTCTGTTGTTAGAAAAAAAAAGAACTTATGTCTGTAAGAGTGCTCTCACATGTTACAGGCATGACTAACGGGTTTTTAATAGATAATAATGTTTGGATGGCAAATTTGAAGAATAAATTTAAATGGTTCTGAATACTTAGTAAAATGCCAGAAAAGATATTGGCTTCAAAATTTATTAGTCCAGGRTTTGCATGCTTGCCTATTCATGTCAGCACAGTCAGGTAATCTAAATAAATAGAGCACTCTAAGAAGGCAGATATACTGGTTGAGAGAACGCAAGAAATGTGGGAAAATAGCTTTATCTTTTCCCATCTTAAGCAAAAAATATTTATTGCTGCAAAATAGAAAGATAGTTTCTACTTACTTTCGCATAAGGGAGCTTTGTGACTCCATTTTCCATTACTTCTACAAATGATAAATGCTTTGCCATCAATTCTATAGCCAGAAAGACAACGATAAAGAATTCTTGAGCCAACACTGTATCTCTTTCTTGAGATGCTTTGCTTGCCATTTTTCACTCTTCCAGGATCTTTACAGACAACTTCTTTCCCTGTTGCCACAATAAATAAATGATATAAACTCTTAGTTTATTCTAGCTATAGTGTGTTTGGGTTTTACGTTTGTGCCATGATGTTTAGAAAATTAGATGATTTTTTACGAAAATTGAAAAAAGAGAAAATTCAATATTAATTTGAAAATGTCGTTGTTCAGCAAAGAAAAAACTCCTGATAAAAATGTTGATAGAAAAGTACAAAGCCGGGCATGCGTTTTCTGAATATCATTTTCATACACAAAGTTTCACAAGAAAAAGGTATTCATTGGTGTTCCCTTTATCGCAGACCTACTTCCCTTACAAAATATGCAACAAAAAGAAAAGAAAAGAAACAACTTACGTTTGCATTCAGGCAGGTCATTGCTCCATGTTCCATTTTGAGTACAAGTAAGAGACGCTTCCCCTTGGATTTCAAATCCAGGAAGACATTGATAAAAGACAGCTTCTCCTGCACTGTACGTTTCATTGGTTGTGTTCAGCATGCCATGTCGTATCTGCCCTGGTTTTTTGCAGATGACACTTTTTTCTGCATTCGTGAAAAAAGTATTGCTGGTTTTCAATCATTCCAGGAGAATATAAATAATCACGATTGTTGATGATAGTGTTATTGGTTAGTGATAAATGTATTGCTGCTTTGCATTCATTGAATCACGAGAATAAACTACACTGAAAGTAAAAGCCGTGTCGGCCATTTTTGCTGATGAAACGAGAGAGACTGACTGAAAATTAGAAAATCACCATAATAATAATGTCCCCAATTAGTGCCAATAGGCACTAGAACGATAAGTCGCAATGAATATATGTATGAACACGTACATATAATATGGTAATGGCGGCCATGTCAACCAGCAAATTATTTAGAACTTAGCTAACTGACTGACTAGCTCGAATCATGAATTTAATTACAAAATTCCAACCTTGGCAGAGAGGAACCTCATCACTCCACTGTCCATTGCTCATGCAAGTGAGATTTGCAGTACCATTGATAGTGTATCCAGGAACGCAATCAAAATGAATTACGGATCCAGCGCTGTGGATACTTTCAGCAGGACTTCGATTGCCATTAGAAATTTGTCCAGGATCGTTGCAGCGAACCTCTCTTTCTGTTTCCCGCCCGAAAAATAGAAGAAAATATAAAGATTAAAGCTCAATCTCAGCTACACTGTAGTTTGAAGTTCCCTTTTCAAAGCAATCAAAGTTTGATTTTAGGAATTTTCGCGCAACAAAATTATTGCTCTTTTTGTCTTTAATACGACGGACGCCTTGAAGGTCAATATGGTTCTGTGGCTATCAATTTTTGTTGGTCGCACTGCCAGTTTTTGTCTTTCGTTTAAGGGTATAAGGTGATTCATGCATAGTTAATAGAGGAAGGATAAACATGAAAACGAAGTCTTCACTCTTCGCATCGATAAAGATGGATTTAAGGGGTGCTATTCAGTGCTATGGATGTTTATAACCTTGAACTTCAAATTCATGCTGCACTGCTATGCATGCATGGAGTTCAATTGTGTACAGTTAATAATAAGATAAAATTATTATTGAATTTGTATTAGTATAGGTAATAGGACTACATGCTAATAAAATCCGAGGACTGACAAAATTGCAAGAGGCCGGTTGAATTCAATTATTTCCAAATTGGACAGACAAGTAGTCTTATATATATTGCAGATTACTTATATCATCCCAAACTATACTAGACTGATTCCATAGGTCATAGTTTTCCCTCGCGGAAAGATGCAAATGGAAACCATCCAAATTCGTCTTTAATTTGGACAGGAAAGAGAATTTAAAAATAATACAATAGTTGCTTATATGGGATTATATAGTGATAATACATTTAAGTGCATGTTAATGTATACTAAATTGCTTGCCTCACCTGTTGCCCATGGAAGAGGTTCCGCCAGAACGATCAAGACGAGAACAACGCATATAATGAACTGTTAAATGAGATCTAAATTAGTATAACGCAATAATCATCATCATGGATATTAGTATTCCATGAAGCCTATGTATTTGTGCTAGGAGAATAGCATTGCTGGCCTTTGGCAAGAGATGATGACGGAAAGAACACTGATTTGAAAAATGCATGAAATGAACCGGACTAAGAAAAAATAAGTCATTATTTATCAATTATACAGTTGCGAAGTCCGCTATCATCTTCTATCAAAATGCAGTGAGATCTGCAAAATTCGGTGGATAAAACTACTATTTTTTTATTTATTTAGAAAAACCAGAAAATGACTCGGAAGGTAAGTGTCGCAGGAAGCGGAACATGCAGAGACAGGTTATAATTAATCTTCTGATGTTGTCGTTCAGTTTACATATCAAATAATTAGTAGTTGATTTTATTATTTCATGTTTTTCTTTATTTGGAGGAAAAGAAAATCACAAACCAATATAAGAAAAGCAAAAATATTTCCAACCATATAGGCTAGCTGGACACACAGTTGAGAGAAACCGAATGTTCTAGAAGGACAGATAGTATTTCAATCTGAACTTTTCTTTTCAAGCTGTTGCAGACTATTTCTAACCATTTTTAAAAAGGTAAATATGATCTCTACAGATCTAAAATTGCTATAACTTAAATATTTTGAAAGTTTGAAGTGCGCACTTACTAAAAACGAAAGCATTTGAAATCAAATCTCAAGCGCTTTTGTGACCTTGTACAGACGCAATTACGAGACGAAAGGTTGGTACTTTGAAATTACGGCCTGCAGGCTGAGCTGGACGTGTTGGGGCAGCATTTTATTACAGGTTGACCTTGCTAGCTATGGATAAACAAGATTTTTATAGCCTAATAAAATACCGGAACTCACATTTAGCATGGTGCCTGGATGTCAGCCAAGAGATGCATGATTTGTAGCATTTCATTAACTCGAAATTTTCACGGAAAAAACATATGCCAATTGGAGATAAAATAAAGCCTTGTTTTCGCATGCTGCTTGATACTTCCGAATCGTTATTGTATGGCGCTATCTTTGATAATAATATCATTTGAATGCTTTGTTCTTGATAAACGTTTTCTGTATAAGTCTTTACGTATCCTGCCATGCTATCATCGCTCTCTTTTCTGTTACTGCAAGTTTATTAATGCGATCATTATAATAAACACATGCATCAGTAAATATCTCCATGATTAGTCCATGTCTTAGTATTTGAACTTACTAGTTTGTATCTTTCAGCTAGGTACAATGCTAAAGCAAGCAAGCCTGTTTCCACATAGAAATATTTGCAAAAAAATCTACTGAATAAAAACTAGTTTCTTAAAGTGCACATGAACCCTTCGACAATACTTTCAGTACTGATTCTGCATAAAGTAAATAGTTGATTGGTAAAATATTTCTTGATTTGAGTGATGCGTCTTTAAGTTATGAAGGTTTATACTTCCAATATGTTAATGATGATGACGTCAGGTAAGGTATTTGAGTGTTTTTGTTGTAACTAGTAATACTAAATGCTGGCCATTTTGAAAACAAAAATTGTAAATAGCTTTCATGTAAACCATGAGTAAAATAATGATGCTTTTTAAATACTGTTTCTATGAACCAGTTCGATTTTGTATATTTGATTAAGCCTTAATAGACGTCACACTCATTAGCATATTGGAAGTATAAACCTTCATAACTTAGAAACGCATCACTCAAATCAAGAAATATTTTACCATTCAACTATTTACTTCGTGTAGAATCAGTACTGAAAGTATTGTCGAAGGGTTCATGTGCACTTTAACGTTTCATACCTTCAAGTTTATAGACGCCATGGTCTTGCAGTTGAAGATCTTTGCGAATTTCCTTGAATTCTCAATTAAATTGAAACTCACTTAAGCTTAAGTATAAAAGTTCCTTAGTTGTCTGAGTCTCAAAGCACTTGGAATTATTTCAATAACCTTGCAATTTTGAACAAATCAAAGGGACAGAAATTGATATTTAGGTGACCTTCACAATATGATTTATTTCGAGAGAGTTGAACTTTTTTTGTGGTCTTGGGGGAGTTTCTAATTTCAATCAAGCAAAGCAGGAAGTAGATGGCACAAGAATAACGAGAGGTGGGAATTGACTTAAGATGTGAGAAGGAATTCTTCTTTATTTGACAAACCCCCTCAGATTGAAGGATGGTACAAGTGAATCACCTCAGGGAGAAGGATGGTACAAGTGAATCACCTCAGGGAGAAGGATGGTACGAGAGAACCACCTCGGGGAGAAGTAGTTACAAATTACCCACCTCAGGGAGAAGGATGATACAAATGAACCACCTCAGATTGAAGATGGTACAAAAGAATCACCTCAGGGAGAAGATGGTATGAGAGAACCACCTCAGGGAGAAGTAGGTACAAATGAACCACCTCAGGGAGAAGGATGGTACAATTGAACCACCTCAGGGAGATGGATGGTGCAAATGAACCACCTCAGGGAGATGGATGGTGCAAATGAACCACCTCAGGGAGAAGGATGGTACAAATGAACCACCTCAGGGAGATGGATGGTGCA